AATGTCGTCCAGGCCATTGACAAGGCAGTGCTTCCGGAACTCCTCGACGTCAAACGAGCAGATGGTCTCGCCGGCCGCGTTCTTGATCAGCTGGTTGGGCAGGTCAATCTCAATCTCCCGTCCGGCGCGGGCCTCGGCCGCGATGGCGTCGAGGTGCTCCTTGTTGGAGATTTGGATGGGCAGCATGCCGTTCTTGAACATGTTGTTGTTGAAGATGTCGGCAAACGACGGCGCAATCACGCTCTTGATGCCAAAGTCGAGCAGCGCCCAGGGCGCGTGCTCACGGGACGAGCCGCAGCCAAAGTTGGGGCCGGTGCAGACCAGGATCTTGGACTGCCTGTACGGCTCCTTGTTCAGGACAAAGTCGGGGTTCTCGGAGCCGTCGGGGAGATAGCGCAGGTTGTGGAAGAGGGCCGAGCCCAGACCGGTTCGCTTGATCGTCTTGAGGAACTGCTTGGGGATGATGGCGTCCGTGTCGACGTTGGCCAGCTCCATCGGCGCCGCGACGCCCTTGAGAGTCTCAAACTTGGGCATGCCGGCGGACTCCATCTTGGCCGCGATGGTGTTGGTGTGCGGCTCGCGGTCCAGGGGCTGGTCGGTAATGGCCTCTCGCTCGTCGGAATCCTCGACACGCTCATCGACGTGAGGCGGCTCCACGGGGGCACTGGGGCCGACGCGAGCCTGGACGTGGGGGCTGGTGGTGTACTCGGCCAGCTTGCGGACATCAGTCAGCCGGCCGGTAATGGCGGCGGCGGCAGCCATGACGGGGGACATGAGGTGAGTCCGTCCGCCTGCTCCCTGACGGCCCTCAAAATTGCGGTTCGAGGTACTGGCGCAGCGCTCTTGGGGCGACAGAATGTCAGGGTTCATGCCCAGGCACATGCTGCAGCCAGCCTCTCTCCACTCAAAGCCGGCGTCGATGAAGACCTGGTCGATGCCCTCGGCCTCGGCCTGCGTCTTGACAAGGCCGGAGCCAGGGACAACCATGGCGCGCTTGACGTTGGGCGCAATCTTCTTGCCCTTGACGACGTGGGCGGCCGCCCGCATGTCCTCAATTCGCGAGTTGGTGCAGGATCCGATAAAGACCTTGTCGACCTGAATCTCCTCCATCGGCGTCCCGGCAGTGAGGCCCATGTACTCGAGCATCCGGCGGCCGGCCGCCCTCTTGGCCTCGGTGGCAAAGGTCTCGGGGTCGGGAACCCTGCCGGTGATGGGGACGACGTCCTCGGGGCTGGTGCCCCAGGTGATGGTCGGGACAATGTCCTTGGCGTCGATGAAGACGTCAATGTCGTACTTG